ACCTTAGACTCACCACTTGACCACTTGCCGACCTTCTAGAAGGACTAAAGCTGGGCTTCTGGACTCTACTTGGACTCCTACCCTACAGGTCTACAGTTCGAATCTYCCTWCAKCCTACAACCTACGGTGACCTACTTACCACTGGCTATCGTGCAGGTCACGGGTTCAACTCCAGGGAACTGTACAGATACTGTACACAGGTAAGCTGAGGTCAAGGGATCGACCCCTGGGATCTGCATCGGCTACTGCCAAAGGTGAAAACTGTTTCATTATACAAATAATACAACAATATTCAAACTCTTGATCTATTTGTTGGTAGTTATATGTGTGCAGACTCTGCAGAGTGCCTAACGCTGTTGCTTGCTTGGTGGCTGTAAGGGGAGGGAGGTGTTTTCCCCATATCTGCTTGGCTCTGCAGCTATTTAGGCAAGTGTTTGGAAGGTCGGTCATCGCTGAGCGAGGGTTGCTTGACTTTAGCGTCAGGGTTATGGGCAGTGGGTGATAAGGGCAGCTTGTTTCTATTTGCCGCCATTTGGCGCCACTACTGTGACAGTCTGTGGAAGCCCTTACTGAGAGGGGAACACTGGGGGATGTCGTGGTCGGTACGGTGAGCAGTAGCAGCTACATCACTGGTCTTCGGATGGAGTCAGGACTTCGATTCTAAATTCCAATGTAGTAGTCAGTCAGTTCTACAAGAGGGGGAGGAGGAGGAGGAGGAGGAGGAGGAGGAGGAGGACGGCGAGGAGGAGTTGCAGTGACTGTGAGAGGGAGATAGCATGCTTAGCATGCAGTGCAGTATCTCCCTCTCCCTCCCTCCCTCCCTCCCTCTCTCCCTCCCTCCCTCTCTCTCTCTCTCTCTCTCTCTCTCTCTCTCTCTCTCTCTCTCTCTCTCTCTCTCTCTCTCTCTCATAATAGCCGCTGGTTCGGGGTCGTCCAACTGTAATGGGAGGAAGCGTTGAGTGAGTTAACACATTCTAAGGGACGCTGGACCCGTTCTCGTGGCTTTATAATGGACTTGCTTCAAGTTCTTCCCCCCCCTCCCTCCCTGCCGAAAAGATTGTGCTTTCATGGATGAACATCGATGCTTGCTTCTGTGGTCAGTGGGTTTCATGGATGAACACATGAAGATTGCTCTTTCGAGGATGAAGATTCAAGTTTGCTTCTGTGCTGAGCAACCTTTCATGTATAAACGGACACGAACATTGTATTTCAAAGGTGGACGTTCAATCTCATAGTGAATACAGTGTACATGTGTCCAACTGACTCCAACACCTTGTAGGCTTGTCCTTTGTCTGCGTTTTCACGTGCATTTATCACGGTTGTGTCCCTCTCTGCAGACTGTGTCCCTGACTGCATGTTGCTTTTAATGTGTATGCATTACTTGACATGGATGAAGTGTACTTGTATACATGTCTCCCCCTTGTGTAACATCAGTGGTTGCTCTGCATGAAGTGTACTTGTATACATGTGCTCGATGTCAGTACGGTGTGCGTCCATGTGCGTCTGTCCATGACTCCATATCCATGTCTGTCTTTGTGTGTGACCATTGCTGTCCCACATGTGCCGCACTGAATGTCTCTTGATGTCCGTCACAGGATGTGCAATGTCACACCCATGTCTGTTTTTGTGTGTGACCATTGCTGTCCCATTTGCCTGCTCCCATCTGAATGTCTCTCGATGTCTCGATGACGGGGTTGAATCTGTGTGAGTGTGGCATTGCACCGTTTTTGCACATTGCGAATATGCACACTGACCTTAACAGTGGATGTGACATTTGCACATTGGAAATCTGTTTCAGCCTTTCAGGGTGCAAAGCTTTTTGAAGACTGACTGTACGTCGTGCTCTTCATGAGTTTGGACTCTGGAGGATTCGGGTTTGGCAAAGAGCACCTCACGATTGCACATTCGGTTATGAATTTGCGTGAGTCATTCTTATCCTTTTCTCACTCACCCTCTGTTTTTCCTTTGTCCGTTTGTGGGGTTTTAAAGTTAAAAACCACCAACACATTTTTTTCTGCTCCCGAAGAAAAATTGAGCCGGTAGCCTCCAGGGTAGTACATCCGAAGCGCGGCATCTGCGTACATGGCCCGAAGTTTCGGTAGAAGGTTCCTGGTGCTGGTGGTAATAGTAGTTCCTCCTCCACCCTTCCCCCTCTCCTCCCC